TGAAGAGTTAATGGTGAAATCAGCAATGTGAGAAGGAAATAACAATATCTGAGCAACATAGTATCACAGCATTTACAAAAGTCCATATTATGGCTATACATTTTTTTCTTTCTTTGATAATTAACTAATATTTTTTTCAATAGTACAATTAAAGATTGATTTAATTAATTAATTATTAATTCATTACATTTATATAGAGCTTTTCTAGGTACTCAAAGCGCTTTACATGAATCTCCTCAACCACCACCAATGTGCAGCATCCACCTGGATGATGCGACGGCAGCCATATTGCGCCAGAACGCCCACCACACACCAGCTTAACTAATATTTTATTCAATAGTACTATAAAATATTGTTTTCAAAAATACAATCATTTATTTAAGAGACATAAAAAAATATAATCTCAAGTAAGTGTATTTTTCCTTACCTCTCAGGCAGAGTCGGGTAGGCGGTAGTATGTTTCCAATACATTCTTGTTCTCTCTCAACAATGCTCTAACATCACACGCAGACGGCAACGCAATCTTGCTAAGCTGCGTCCTATCTGCACCTCTTCTGCTGCACCTCTGTCATTTTCTGTGGGTCTCTGGAATTGTCAGTCAGCTGTCAACAAACTTCATCTTTGCTCATTTCTTTATTACATTTAACCTACATATTACTACTACCTGTGTGCCACCAATTCCTCTACCAGTTACTTTTAGGCAAAACCTACGCTCCCTTTCACCCTCCCATCTTTCCTCTGTGTCTTCCTCTCTTCCCTCACCCATTTCTCATCTCTGGATGTGAATGCAGCAACTGACACTTTGTGCTCCACTTTAACTTCTTATCTAGACAATATATGTCCTCTCTCCTCCAGGCCAGCATGTGCTACCCCTTCTAACCCCTGGCTGTCTGAGGTTCTTTGTTAACATCGGTCCAAACCCAGAGCTGATTCAGAATGCAGCAGCACAACTGATCTTCAACGAGCCCAAAAGGGCCCACATCACACCTCTTTTTAGCTCTCTGCACTGACCGGTTGCAGCTCGCATCAAGTTCAAGACATTGATGCTTGCATATAGAACAGCCAAAGGCTCAGCTCCCTC